GGCGGGGAGATAAAAAAGTACCATCCGCAGAAAGAGAAGAATCCGAGAAATCACCTCGAGGACTGCCAATGTCGACTCCGCCTTTTCCCGCTCCACCAGAGAAAGAGCCAGTTTCACCACCGTAACCCAAACTCCCAAAAGCAGATTGATTGCCACAATTAACGGCAAGAGTCTCTAAATTCGAGCCTCCACCTCCAATGGAACTTCCACTTCCGTTGGAACCTCCTCCAGAACTGTCGGCACCAGGACCGCCACCGGGTTGAGTTCCATCCGATGCTGCTGGTGGTGGTGGTGATTGTAGTGGTGCTGGAGAAAGAGGTGAAGGTGGTGGCGGTACTTCTTCTTCTTGCGTTTGACCATCAGGTGCCCCTTCTTGTGCTTTATCTCTTTCTTCCTTTTCTTTATCCGTAACATCGTCTTCATTATCAACCACGCCCAAGACTTTATCATCTGTTTGGTGCTTTGGTGAAGGGCCTTCTAAATCTTTAACCAACGGTTGCCTCACGAGATCGGAATCTTGATTAATTGGCTCCGCGTGCTGTTTTCCTGCAGCAGCAACAGGAGTTACGGGCTGCAAATCCCCCGATGATTCTTTTTTCTCTTCAGTAACCCGAACATCCTCGTCACATCTACCGCCAGAAGTACCGCACCACAGCACGCAGAGGGCACACACCAGCAGCACACGGCCAGTCATCATCATCGCCATCACTCCTGTCACTTGCGTGTAGCCTTCAGCACAAACTAACTCCCCGTCAACGGAGAGTGAAGGCAAAAAGAGAGACAAGTCACACAACCCCGCACAGCCAGCAACGCACACACCGCAAGACAGAGGGAATCACTACGATTGCAGAACTCGCACACCCTCCCGCACAACAAAGCCTACAAAAAAAGCATAACAAAAGGAAGTTGACACTCCGACAAGACTTAAACAAAAAAAAAAAAAAACATGAAAATCGATCCAGTAAGAATTTTATTTCATGCGCCAGGTAGCAAAAGAACAGCGTGTCTTCGTGTACACATATTTCCCACACCAACTGAACTAAAAAAGGATCGTACTGTTCCACCAGCCCACACAACATCCCTCACATTACATTGCGGCATCCGGCCTGTTCCTCCAATCCTCCTTTCGTGCAGTCCGTGGGACGCACAGCAATGAGGCCGGCACCGCGTGTGGGCAACAAAAGACAAAACAAGTGAGAGAAGCACGTCGCTCATGAGGGTGTGCAGCAACCAACCATTAAATAAAAAATGGTGCTTATAATTCCAGGAAAAAAAAGCAGTAAAAAAGTAATAATAAAAGTAACACGCATGCAACGCGGGACATGATCTCCGTGAGGGGTCGCAATTCCACACTCTTTGGCTCAGAAGACCACCACAACTCCACACAACCCCAGAAGAAGCAGCAACGCCCAATACACGCACATACGCACAGTGCTGTCAACAGTTAACTCTCGCAGTGTCAATTTCGCGTCGTTAAGCAGCGCAAAGCAGTCGTCGGGACTCACACCGTTCTCGGAATACTGCGCGGTGAATTCTCGTAATTGGGGTTTTCGTGTCCAGAGGCATTGCGTTGAGTCAATCCGCCCGCATCACCCTCAGCAAAAAATCCACTGCCTGCAGTGCCATTTTCTAGAACGAGAGATTTGTGTCCGGTGGCGTTGCGTTCACTCACCTCGTCCGTGTTATCCGCAGCAACGTGTTCCCTGCCGCCATAAGTGACAGACATGATCCCGGATGCATCCAGCGCCACTAATATTCTCGGACCGTTGGCAAAGGAAAGCCTCTTCTTGGACGCATTCGGGACTATCATTTCGTTCGGATTGGTGGCAAACTCAAGCTTCGTCTCGGACGTGTTGGTCGCCGTGTTGGATGCGGGACTCTGATCGACGGTGTTCGGTCCGTCAGCCGCCGCAGACTGTCGCCAATCCTCGTTCTGATGTGACGGCTCAGCATCAACTTGCGGCGCAGTTGTCCCACCAGATTTTGTGTCATCCTTCCCTTCACGGGGTGGCGGCAACTGACAGATGACCGTCCGGTCAGCATCGCTGCTCCGTGCAGGCGGATGGATGGTTCCGTCGGGGGAAAATTGACGCCACCACAATTCATAAGGGCCGGCGTATTTATGTGTCGTCACATTCATCGTGAAGGCAACGGTGGCCCCTTCCTCTTCCGTTGCACAGCTGGCAGCACAGTTGCTACATGTGTGCACCGCATTGGCCACATGGCACACAGCACCCAGCTCACCATTCCTGCCATGCATGCGCACACCAAAGCCACTAAATGTATAATTCTCACACTGAGCCTCAGCACTGGCAGCAGAACACTTCTTCCACACAAACACACATGCACGCGATAGCTCAGGCTGCCGTCACTCGGAGCACACGACACATCCACCGGCACAATCACCGCATCCACATCACCAGATACATCTCCAGGACTCCCAGCAGCCGTCACGCACACGGACGGGCAGCAGCAGCAGCACAAGAGCGCAAGGACCAACACGGCGCCGCACCGTCACCATCGCAGTCATCGTCACCCGTAGTGGAGTCGCTGGAGCCAGTCAGATGATCCGTGAGGCAGAAGAAAAGAATGCAACAAGAGGGAGAGGGACGGAGTGCAGCGGATACAGCGAGAGAGAGAGCAGACAACATGAGGAGATGGCAGCAGGCCCAGCCGCACATTTCACACACCACGAGACGGCATCCACGCAAGGAAGGCACACAACGCCAGCAGCCACCCACCATGCAGGAGGAGAAGATATCCACCACCATATTCTCCCAGCTCATTCCCACAGCCAACGGGAAATGGCAAAACCCCGCGGCCACCACACAACGCACACGGAGCGAGCACCCACCACACCAGCCACACGCGCCAGTGAACTCTCATCCATCCATGACGCGGCAACAAAATTTCCTGCCATCCCGCCCTCAATGGGACACGGAGCCCAACTCAACGCAGTCACACGCGGTGCATCACACCCGCAGGAAAAGAGACTCGGGCTGCGCACTCCCTCTCCCTCCTCCCTTCTCCTCATGGCCACGGAAGAGGACAACAGCCGCCACACGCAACTGCCAGCATGCACTGCAAAAGAAGCATTCAAATCCACTGCAATGCGCATCTTGTGTGTGTGTGTCTGCAGAAAAACAAAGCAAAGAAGTAGGAAAAAGAGAGCAGAGTATGTGGAGAGACGCAAAAAATAAAACGTGCAGCGGAGACGCATGGCGGAAACAACAAGAAGAAGACCGCTCAAACTCGCGACTCCACCGCAGTCCATGCAGTGGCAATCCACACAAAAATTTATTTAAAACAAAAAACACGTTTCCCTTCGTCTTACACAAACCCCATCACACAAAATAATTATAAATAAAAAAGAAATCGTCCATTACTGTTCCACACAAATTTAAAATTCACCTGGTGCCTTGTGGCCACACCAAACTGTCTGTATACATTTTGCCCAAAAAAGAAAATTAAATAGTTGCATTTCTTTCAACCGTCTGACCCTCTGTGTGTCCGCACATCGTTTATATTTCATGGGGTCATCTGCGTGTTGCTGCTCCTCTCAGTCCTTTCATCGGCGTGCGAGTGCGGCCTGCAGAGCTCAGTCACTCGTGTGTGTGCATGGGGACTGAGAGAAGCACGCAGACATGACGGGAGTCGCGTCACTCCATCGGGAGAGTGAGCGCAGCAAAAGAAAAAAAACTCATCAGGGGGAAAAGAAATGCTCACAAGGCCGACACCGAAAGAAATGCCGGCGCGTGAAATGCACACGCAAAGCAAAAAATCTTAAAAACACGGCGGCAGGGTGTGGCTGTGTGTGTGTGGCGCTGCGGGTGTCTGCCCGCCCTGGCCGCTAAAAAACAAAACAAAACAAGAGGGAAAGAAATGTGTGCTCCGCCCCACCGGCCCTCGTCGCACGCCCACACGTCACGGCTCCCTCAGCGCGCCGTTCGTCGCGGCCCCTCCTCATGCGTGCAGCAGGCGAGGCGCACAGGGCCGTCGTCATGAGCGTGTCGGTGGGTGTGCGAGTGGAGCGGTTGGGCGGGAAACACACGGCACCCCTCACAGGAAGAGTGCAGAAGAAACAAAGAGGGAAGAGTAGAAAAGAAAAGAACGTCCATATTGATTGCCCCCAAAAGCAAAAAAAAAAAGAATGGATGGGGGATGGGAGATAAAAAGAGAAAACATTAAAAAACGAAAAAAGAAAAATACGCACAACAAAAAAAAGAAAAATAGGAAAAGGATTTATTAAAAAAAAAAAAAAAAAAAAAGAAATTAAAAAGCAGAAAACAAAACGCTCAGAAAATTTTAAAAATTGTGCACAGAAAAAAACGCAAAAAAAGATAGAAAAAAAGGAAAATGAAAAGAAGTTTTCTCAGAAATTCGTTCCCGGGAAAGCAATTCTGTGCTGGGGAGGTCGCATGTGTCCCACGCGGCAGCCAGTCACGCCTCACAGAGCCGCAAACCCCCACAGTCCCAACAGCAGAAGAAGCGATGACAGCAGTCCGCTCCCACGCACAGTGCCGCCATCACCCGCTGCTTCCCCAACGGCATGGGAGTCCGGAGCCGTCGGCACTTGCTGTGTGGTGGCAGGCTTCCCCTCCGTTTTCATTTCATCCCCTGTTTTGGTGCGAGAAACAGCTCCCGCTGGTGACCCAACATCTTTTTCCACTTCGGCATCGGGGCCAGAAAAAGTCAACGGGCGGTTGTACAGCAGGACGTTCCTCACAGTCACAGAGACGTCTCCTTGGCCCCCTGCGCTGCCTCCATCCCCTCCAATGTAGAAGTGGGAGATCTCTTGCGGTTCTGTTGCTTCCAATCCACGTTGCGCACTCCCACACACACGCTGACCATCGACGTACACGGAGCCCTGGGCACCGTTCTGTAGCACAATGGACACTTGGTACTGTGTCTCTGTCGCCCAAGTGCTGCTGAGCCTCTTGGTCGTTCCGTCACTGCACAGCACCCACCACTTATTTTGGCTGTCGTACGACAACTCCACAAGTTTTTTTCCACCGTCCAGACGCACACCCATCAATGGAATGGGGTTATCTCCCCTCGGCAGATTGTGGATGGACACCGTCGCCACCAGAGTGAAGTTGTAGTTCGCAAAGTAGTACGGCACGGTCTGCCCCTGACTGCCAACAGGCCACTCCACCCACGCTCCCCGGAAAGTCACGCCCTTCTCCGTGCTGGTCACTTTTTTTTCCGTTCCTTCCTTTACTGTGGCATTCACCCCGAGGTACTCGTCCATCCATGTATTCCAAAAAAAGTTGCCGGACAAAAAGCCAACCAGCCCATCCGTGATCTTATCAGTAGTGCAGGCATTCTCAGTTAGGGCACTCACCGCAGCACGTGAAGTGAGGCACAGCTTGGAGACACGGTCGTCCACTTTCTTCCAGGTCGCCAGCACCTCCTTCACCCGCTTCAGCTGCTCAGTCAGACGCACAGAGACCATACCGGGTGATTGTCCCCCACCGCGCTTCTCGTACAGTGCAATCAACCCCTCCTTATTCTCCTCATTATTATCTCCACTTCCAGCACTTTTGTACAGCAGGGAG